ATTTCTGTGCTTTTTGCATCAAGAAGAAATTTTAGGAGAACCCAAGATCTAACCAGATAATCCCAAATGGGTAAACAACGAGCATCCAAGGCCTACCCAAGATCCATAAGACAACTGAACTCCATACTTCGACCTCCTTTCACTGGCTACTGGAAGTGGGAAAGGAAGTTTTCTTCTTCAAGAAAAGTTGCTGCAGCCAACACTTAATACGTAGAGCAGACAAATCAATTATTTCATTGAAATTTCCTATTCTCCAACAAAAAGATCCTCAGCTCCTCTTTTCCAGTAACCTCACCTTTAACTTCAAAAAGAAAAGGTACTTGTGGGCAAACTTACATGGGCAAAGACAGAGGGCCCTTGCCCCACCTGCCCACCTCTAACAGCCCAAGAGCAGTGAAAGGGCCATGGGAAGCAAGCAGGTCCTCCTCCTCTAATCTGTGTTGCACACAATAAAAAATTGAGCCTATCCTCTGGTAAATGACCTGCCAACACGCAACACCATCATGTGCAGGTCAAAAGAAACAGAAGGAAGAAGCTTCAAACTTTTACAAGCAATTACAATCCTTGATGTCAGCACAAGCAACAAACACTACTGGGCAATAAAGCACCTGAAAGTACAGAAACTAAGGAACTATTCTATAACATGCTCACATGCTTGCCTGTACTGTCCTCCTGGAAGGAAGCAGCAAAGGAGAAGCCTTAAAGAAGGATGGCACATTTGTGCTTTTTCAGTTTGCCCTCACAAACAAGCTGCAGAGACAGCATTTCAGATCGCCAGCCCTACAAGAGTGGCAGACTATGTGCTACCCACATGGAAAGGTGCAAGAAGGGGAGGTTATACAACCCAAACAGTTTGGATTCAAACAGATGCTGCTTGTAAGGCATCACAAGAAACCTGGCAAGAGCCACATGAAAAAGATAGTAAGAAAGCATTGGTTTTACCCATTTTCCATTTATAAGAAGGCACCACTTGGTCATTCGCTCAGCCTACACGAGGCTCAGGGAAACTGTGCCCTTGAGAGTACGACAGTCGCTCCAAATGCTTCCTAGGAGATCTCCCGGCGACCCAGCGGGATTTCAGTGCCTCCTCGCAGCTCGTGCTGGCAGCAATACCTCGCTCAGCACCCGCACTCAGCCCCACCGTCGCTCAGATTGGCAGGGCCGGAGCCAAACGTCCTCCTCCCGCCGCGCATCAGCCTCCAGCCACAGACAGAGCGCACGGCCCCGGCTCGTGTTGCAGGCAAGGGGCTTCGCTGCCAGCTGGGGACAGAGCGAGCCACGCTCTTGAGTGAAGCTCACCTTACAGACTACAGGAAGACAACGGGGATGGAAAGGACCGAGGCAGGCAGCCGAGCGCCGGCAGCACGCTGCAGGCAGGCGGGGTGTGCCACAGCTCCTCAGCGCTCACCCCGCGGCGGAGAAAGGCGGTTCCGCTGCCCCTCGGGGCGCGCCGGTCCCGGGGCTGGCGGCACTCACCAGAAGAACGTGTTGGTGCCGTCGTCGTAGACCTCAGACTCGGTGCTGCGGCGGAGGCCGAGCGCGGGGCCGTCTCTCTCGGAGCCGGGCGAAGGGGAACCGCCGTTGGGCTGCTGGTGCTGCTCCTCCAGGGCGGCCTTACCCAGCGGCCCGAGTGGGCCGCGGCGCTCGCCGCGCCTCATGGTGGCAGCGGCCGCGGAACGACCCCCGCGCTAGCGGAGCGGAGGGGCGGGCGGGGCGCCGCGGCGCGCGGCCCAACGCAGGGAGGGGAGTGCGCAGGCGCGGAGGGCGTCCCGGGGAAGGCGGGAAGGGAGGGCGGGCGTCTGCCGTTGCCGGGGTAACCGCGCCGCCTGAGGAGGCGGGGCGGGCGCTAAGGAGAGGAAATGGTTGAAGTTTATGCGCTCTCACGTGGATCTCACTCAGAGACAAGCGATCCCCGCCAGGCTGCGCTGCAGCCTCGGATACCCCAGGGCGTGCCGTCCAGCCCTGTGAGCGCCATTTAACCACTTCTGTTCCCGCTCTCGCTTTGGCAGACGCCAGGGGGCGCTGAAGGATGGGAACTGCCTGTGTGGTGCGCGTGGAGCAGGCGGCCGCACGATGGCAGCAGCCAGCCGGGCACAAACAGAGCTGCGAACGTTTGCACTTGTAGGTTCTGTCCGGCTGTCACAGGAAGCCGAGCGGCCTGCTGCCATCTCTGCTGTACTAGCAGCATAGCTGCGTAGGGTAAAGAACCTCCGTTTCCCACCTGTGGCATGGAGGAGCTTCAGGGAAACACAGCAAAAAAAGAGTTACAGTTTGACTCTGAAAAACACCTGGAACACCTCTTTTGAAGGATCTTTCTTCTTTTGCATCCTTCCAGCCAGATCCACAGGAAGGCAGTACCCTTCAAATTCAAGGCTCTGGGGATTGCATCATGCAAGGCAGGCTGCCTCTATCTTCTTGAAGTAGTTCAATACATAAAAGAATTCAGCTGCTCATTACTGCTTCTCAGATGGAAGTCACCAGTGCAGTGCTTAGTGCACGTCAAACCACTGCCCAAAGTGGTTGGAGCACACTGGGCTGGTGTGATACCATGGCAGATTAGAATGCAACCACATGGCCAGCCCCAGCAGCAACAAACTTTGGAGGGTGATAATATCTTAAATAATTCCAGCTGCTTACAATGCATTTGTGCTGTTACAATCCCTCAACAAACAAATGGATGGCAGATCCACAACACCTCGTGTCTTAAGCATCATCACACTGGAAGGTTCAACCTCTCCCTCCTTGATCTTAGTTTCCCATGCTGCTGCCCTCAGTACTGTTCCCCCAAAAGCAATGAAACCCAAGGCAGTGCACTGCAGGATGGTTGTGTGAACAGGAAATCTCTGAAACGAGAGCACTGTCAATTTGGTCACTTGCCACCCTGCAAAAGAAGCTAGATCCTGCCTAGGCAGAGCCAAACTCCTTCTGAACTGAAGAAGAAAAAGTTCATTGTTTCTTCTAAGTGCTATGCAAAGTCAGATACCTTGGACAAGAAGCCCATCTGCAAGCACAGGCTCACCTTCCCCACTGGTAAAGCCTCTGAGTTTTGGGACTGTTGCTGGAAGCAGGTGTTGCCTGTGTTCAATTAGCCAGCCTATCTGCAGAGCAAAGTCCTTCCACTCCTCCTTGGCAAAGTTTGCAGGAGAAAGAAACAGGTGCGCAGGTAGAGACACATGTCCCACCTACACCTAACCCCATTTCCTTTCTACCCAGCAGTGCTCAAGTTGCAAAGGTCTTTGATATTCTGTCAGGAGATGTGGAAAGCACAACGAATCCTATCTGACAAGAGCTTACTCTCTCCTCATGTAAACACACACGTGTTCTCCCACACCCATGGAGAGCAGCTGGTGATCAAGGTGGTTTTCCCCTCCTGGCCAGCCCTACAGATCACTTCCAGGAGGGTAAAGGTCTCCCTGCTCCTTCCCTCGCTTTGCCCTTGGTTTTAAGCTTAGCAGGAAATTCAGAAAGTGGCTCTTTGTAAAAAGATAATAATTGCAGGTCTGTTTAAGGCGCTTGGCAAAGCCACAGAGCAATGTTAGCTTGCCTGGTAAAAGAGCTGTGGAAATGCCTGCTGCATTCCCTGACAGAATGCACCAGATCTCCCCTCCCCCCCCTCAGGACTAGTTTTATATAAGAGTTACTCACAGTGATGCATCCAAAGAGCAGAGGAAAACCCCCCAGCTACAGGTTTCCCTCCTGGGGAAAGACAGCTCTTGGCCTGGAAATTAAACAACAGACATAAAACAAGATATAGGGAGAGCTATCAGACAAAACTTATACGTAACCTTTTGTCTGGCCATTTTTGCTAGAAGAGAGTTAAAGCCTACTCCATGCCTGAGGTCTGGATGAAGTGAGCCTTTGTGATCATAGAAAAACAGTTCTCAGTTATTTGGTTATGATTGCCAGTGAGCATCTCAACTCAAATGCAGGTAAGCAGAGGCTGACGCACTTATGCTCTGGTTAATCCCACGTACTAAAAGTGATGTTAAGGAGCAGGGAGGCAAGAGTCCTATGTGGCTTGGGGGAACATTCAGGGCACACTTTGATGCTCCCCTCCTCAGCCATGAGGGAGGAAATACTTGTTCTTAAGGGCTGTAAAATACGTAGAGAAGTTTCTGGAACCCTTAATACCTGATCCTAATGCCTTCATGCAACAATGCTATTACATCCAGAAGAAAGAAATGCCAGCTCCCAGTGAGATGTGACAAAAAAGATGTACTGGCTCTTCCAGGAAGCCAATTTTTTCCTGTGCAAATTTTTCCCGGCCAAGGTAGGGAGGAAGAGGGCTGTATCCAAGTGGAGAAACCACAGAGGAGATGCTTCTTGCCTACCTGAAAACTAGTGCTTTGCCTCTTTTCCCTGTCTTGGCTGCACAAAATTTCCTCCTTGACTCTTCTCAAAGCTGGGGCTGTTCCCACCCCATCTTTTCCGTGGACCTCAAGGTTCACCAAGGTTTAACTCCAAGAGTGAAGATCATGTTAGGGAGGGAAGGCTCCCCCTTCCCTCCCCTCACCTTTTGTAAGTAATAGTTTAATGCTTTCTAGAACTTGTTTTAATCCCTCCCTCCTCCTTTCAGCCCCATTTAGGAACGTTCACAGGACACAGTAAGAGGCATGGGCACAGAGGATGGGGATGGAGTGGTCTCATTGTTCTCCCCGTGTTGGCAAGAGGAGCTGCGAAGGCTGACACCACAGGATTCCCTGCCTACGCTGCTGGGCGGTACTGGGCTTGCCACTCCTTTGAACAAGGGTGAAGGGCAACTTCCTCACCTCCTCCTCCTCGCTATCTGCCCATTGCTAGGCAGAGGCAGCTCCCTCCCAAGGCAGGAGGGAGGCCCACACGGAAGTCAAAGCCAACGCTCCATTCACATGCAACTTCAGGCAGAGTAACAATACTGCAACAAAGCCCTGAAACTTTGGGAGCCTCTCAGCTTGTCCTCAGCCCAACAGACTGATCAGAGAAAAAGAAGAGCAGGAGGAAGAGAAAGGTTCCAATTCACCATGCAGGTAAGAAACAAAAACTGGTCAGCAGTTGCCAACAGGTTGTTTTCAGCGCATTGGAGCCACCTGTATTTTGGAAATTTGGCGTATTATAAGCTCTGAGCTCTACCACTCAAATGCTTTCAGCCCTAGGGTACTCAAAACATACCACAGAGCTTCAGTTTCTCTCAGCGAATGCTTTCATTTTCACCATGAAGGTATGATGGGGAAAGCAATGCATTGTGCTCAGTCTGCAGTATCCAATAGCACCTGCAGCCTTGGAACAAGCGCGGTGGGGTCAGGGCAGTGGGGCTTTGCATGTCTGTACCACAGTTCAGAGCTGCCAGTGGGCAGATCAAAGAAGGGTGGTTTGGTTTCAGGAAAACTGTCACAGAATCACAGAATCATCGAATGGCTTGAGTTGGAAGGGACATCAAAGATCATCTTGTTCCAATCCCCCTGCTCCTATAACTTGAAAGAAAAGGCACAGATTATTATTCAGAAATCCAGGCAAACTTTATGACTGGGACAGCTAGTAACAGCACAGGCATTCTATCTGCTTGTTCAATTAAAGATTGTTCACATTTCTTAGGAAAACATGAGGCAAGGTGGAAGCGCTCTAGGGCAAGTGAGGAGGGCACAGGAAGCACTGGTAAGAACCATTCCCAAGATAAGAAAGCAATTTGGTCATTGCTGTGTACGGGATAGAAACTACCCAACCTCTACCAGTCTGTGGTGGGGAAGGAAAACAGGGGTGCTGGATCCCATTCAGATCCTTTACTTCAGTCACTGGCACTGTGACCACACTCCCCACTGAAGGGCACCCCTAAAGGATCGAGTAAAGTTCTTGCACAGAGCATCAGGATACAAGGGGACTAGGACCAACTGATATAGCTGGAGAGAAACTTTGGGCACACAAACCCCCTTGATATTAAAACACCGCTCATTGTGCAGCATGCTTCTCACACGTTGACACAGTACACCTCCAACCCTGCTCCAAACACTGATCAGGAAAAAGGCTAAATGGGCATCGTCCTCTTTGATAGCAAGGATTAGAGTCCATGGTTTATACAACCACTTCAGAGACTTGACTGTACATGGGGCTGCCTTGTGCTGCTGGAGCAAAACAGCCATCATCAGGTAGTGTTACCAGTCCCTTGGGTAAAAAAAAAAAAACAACATAGGGGTGAGAGTCCCAGTGGTCCCATGTCCCTGCCTTCTACAGCTGTCCCTTCGCACAAGCCCCATCTAGCCCCATATGGGGGCTGGGCTCCTGCAGAGCAGCCAAGGCTTAAAGCAGCTTTTGTCTCATGCTCAGACCCATGCACAGGGATGTCAGCAGTCAGCGTCAATTAAATCTGCTGAAATGCCTCTATCTGTCTATGATGCTTCTATCATCACAGGTTTGCAAACCACCCTCCACAGGTAACTGTGATTTCCATCTGTTCCCACTCTGAAGGTGGGCACTGGGAATTGCCTGCATGACCTGCAAATAATTTTCAAATTCTTCTGCTCTTCCCATTTTTCAGTCCTATGCAGAGGCACTAAAGGTGCTTGCAGAGGACGGACCAGGTGGTAAATCTCATTGCTATGAGAACACAGAAACATGCCTGCCGAGCTGCTACAGACCCTGCTCCCACAACATCCTCACTGCCTAGAGCCATAGACAGGTGACCTAAGAAGCAACCCCACTGATTCATAGCATTTGTCAGGGAAATGAAAAAACAATAGGTCCCTCTTGGGATTAAAACCAGTCCTTGTTATTTTGGGAGTATGTAGCAGCAGGGGCGGGATTGGCAGCATCAGATCCAAGAGACCAGCCTCATTACAGCATTAGAGCTGATAGAGGAAGGATGCTGCAGTGAAGCTCTGCAGATCCAGCTCCAATGCTGCGTACAAGCAGAACAGATATTGGGGTTAGTACCAGGGGAACAAGACAAGGCAAGCTGCAAAGAGATGCTGTCAGGCTACATCTGTGCCAGCAAGAGCAGCAGCAGCTGGGGCAGAGCCTTTTGGAACTCCTGTGCACAAGGGGGCCTCTGGGGATAGGGACAGACAGAGCTGATGTGCTGTGTGTAATGATCTTAAGTTATGCCAGGGGAGGTTCAGATTGGATATTAGGAACAATTTCTACTCAGAGAGAGGAGTAGTGCATTGGCACGGGCTGCCCAGGGAGGTGAGGGAATCACCATCCGCAGAGGTGTTCAAGAAACATGGAGATGTGGTACTTAGGCACATGATTAGTGGATACGGTACAGGTGGTTCAGCAGTTGGACTCAGTAACTTCAGAGGCCTTTTCCAACCATAATGATTCTGTGATTTTACAACTCTGAGATCTACATGCTCACCCAACTGGGAAGACTGACCTGTGCCCAAACCCACTTCTCCCACTCAAAAACATGCTTATCTTCTGAAGTCTTCTTACTTTGTCTCAGTCTCCCCCCTGCTTTTCTGCTTCGAGTGAAGACAGGGCCCCAGTTCCAGAGAAAGGATTTCACAGAGTATTTCAGCCCTTTCCTCCTCCCAGTCTCACCTGCTCCCATGGCCTCAATCCTCAGTGAAAGCTTGAGATCCAGGCTTTACATCACAATTTGGTTGCACCACCACCTCTCCACTCCTGAGATTACAGCTGGATGAACTTGTCTGGCCACTATTATTACAAGATACAAAGTCACAAAGCCTTTGGTGACAATGCAGGCTGATGATATCCCCATCCCCTGGCAGCTCCTTCTGTACTGCAACACCATGCCTCCGGGAACAGCAGTATAACTGTTTGTGGGGCCGCACTGTGAGTCACACCAAAGAACTGCAAAACAATAAAAAAAAATAAAATCAGAGCACATCTTTATTAAACTCATTGCAGTCACTGGCATATGAAGCCCAGCACACTTTTGCCAATCCACCAAAGACTGGTTGGACTAATCCCCTGTTGCCTAAGCAGCAACTGTGGCTGTAGGAACAGGGTGAGATCACATCAGGGAAGCCTGGAAGAGAGGATAGGGACAAAGTGATTTCAAAGTTGATGTGCCCCAGTTTTGGGCACCCACCACCAGGACCAGGCCATCCAAGGGTACTCCTACAGCATTCTTCTATGGAGGAGCACCCTGAACAGGGAAATCACCCTTAGCAGAGAGCAGCTGTTGCCACAGCATCATCTTGCTTGTTTCCTCCAACCTCAGAACTGCTCCACTTGGATGCATAATTATGCTGGAAGTGGAGACCAGGAGTGTATTGGGAAAGGTTTCCAACATGCCTGCTCTTACTCTCCTCCCCTGGCATCCCCTCGTGGCACCTGGGAGAGGAAAACTGGGCCAGGTAGACCTTGATCTTGGGTTATAATGCAGTTTTACTTACATGGGCTCTGTCTCTTTTGATGTACTGCAAGTATCACAGTATCATCCAGATGTTCATAGAGAGAGGTTTGCTCTGTGTCTTGATATAGAATCTCCCAAGGAGATCACTGAACTCTTTGCTGCTTCTTCTCTTCCACAGGAGGAAATTCTGTTGACTCCCTGGAGAAGTTTTCCTTTTGAAGACTCAGACACATTTGCCTTCACGGTAAGCTTTGCTCTGTCTGTGCTCAGAGGGAATTCACAGCTCAGAAATTTGGATTCTGGTTGGGGGGGGAGGTGTTAGGGCAGTGGCTGCTTCAGTTTCCCCATCCTCATACTCATTCACAGTCCCCAGAAACCCTCTACACAGGCATGATGAAGGTTCAAGCCTTTGAGAAGCTGAAGCTAAGAGAGAGCTCTCTGCTTGTCAACACCATTAATTCCCTGGTATTTTCTAGGGCCAGGATGAAGAGAAATGGGATTTTGTCCTTGTGAGTGACATCCATGAAATGGGCAGTGAGAAAGAGATCAAGAGGAAGAAGTTCCTGGATGAGCTGAGCAAGAAGGGGTTCACCATCAAGGTAAGAGGCAGCAGTTACTTGGTAACCTAGGATCATAGCTAGTTTGGGCTGCTGAGAGAACTGCCACACCTATCACTGCATCAGTACTGGAAAACACACGGTACACTAAATGAGGGGAAACCCCAGCTCCAAGACTCAGGCAGCTCCTGGCTTTTGCAGCTCTGCCTCTTTCTCTGACCAGATTGTTCTACTAGCCTTTCTCTTCTACCCACTAGAAAATTGAGGACAGGAAGCTATTTTATGGGGTCCGTGCCCCAAAACACTTCTTCCGGAAATACCAATGGCTCTTGAGGAACCCCGACAGCAGGCTGCAAGATCTCAATGCCCAGCAGGACGTACCAGTGACCACCAGGTGAGTGTTGAGCTGGACTGCTGGAATCTAGACCTTGCAGTCCCTTACCTCCACACCAGTACCCATTTTCTATCTCAATTCGCACTTGTGCCAGGCTTTTCCTTCTGCACAGAAACCAACTGCCACTATTGGAGCAAGGTGGCCAGTTCCCCATTTCTTCCCCATTTCCTTCTCTGGATTTTGGTGCCCACTCTACAGGGCCACAACACTAGGCTGTATCCCCAGAGCTGCCTTTAACCCCAGTTTCTCCTTGCTCAGGATACGGATCGTGAACTTCATCTTGCATAACACAGTGACACCCGACCTCGGTAAGGGAATGGGACCAGCAGGCCCATACATCCATCCCCTTTACCTCCAAGGTAATGCAGTCTGTACTGGTAGCAGTGCTCCGGCTCTGTGTTAGGCGTCCCACACCTGAGAGTGGGGATGTGACGAAGAGGAAAGAGCCAGGATGCAGCTCTGGAAAGGTGAATTTGCTTTTTCATTCCATGGCTGGGAAATTTGGACTGCAGGAATCAGCGCCCCTCTCACCGAGCCCACCGCCACTCTTCTGTGTCTCCAAAAATGCTTGTCCTTCTCCAGCTCCTTTCTTTCTCCTCCTTTCAGCTCCAGGGAGGTAGAAAGGGTGCTGGCTCTACTGCTGTCTCTAGGGACCTGCCTACCTGGCTCACTCCCAGCCTCAGTGCAGCTTGCAGCAGCCTGGCTGAGCAGCACAATGACAGGGATTAGTGCTGATCCCTTCTGAATAGCTCCGTCTCTCCCAGGCATTTCTTTCTGCCTCCCCAAAAGCTTCAGGGTGATTTTGCCTGTCAGAAAGCATATGAGAGAGAGAGAAATACTTTGTCTCACTAATCTTCCCCATTCCTCCTGCTACCAGAGAAGCTGCGTGACCTCATGAAGAAGAATGTCTTTGAGGCAGCATTTCCACTGCACGAGGTGAGGCCAAGCACATGGATGACTAGTAGGAAAAGCCATGAGAAGCAGAGGAGCCAGACCAAGTGGGAGAGAGCTCTGGGTGACTGGGGCTGTATTGAGATGTACCTGGATGAAGGGCTCCTAATGGCAGCTTGGCAGCAGGGCTGGGGTTTAAAGCTGCTCTAATATTCCTGGTGTCTTACTGACTTCTCTGTTCTCCAGAAAGAAGAGGTAAGGGAATTTCTGAAGGAGAAATGGGCCCGCTGGAGGGATATATTTTGCCAACAGCCAATTGAGAAGATCAGGTAACTGGCAAAAGAGTCACAGCAGATCTAGCCAAGCAACTCCACCTGGAACCCTTCCCAAGATCCTGTGTTGTCATTTTTTTTCATTTTTTATTTTAAATCATTAGTTTGTACCTCACCCTTTTCACATATATTGGGCCTCTTCTGCAGCTTGCAAAATTCTTAGCCTAAAGGGTATCTCATGGCACCACACTCCATCTGCTAATTTTGCAGAACGAAACAACCCCCGCATCTGCATGGTTTTTAATTAGCCTCTTTCATTTTCAACCACCAGCTCCCATGTTCAAAAGGAAGGCTAGATGAGAACAGAGCACCAGTGAACATGTTCAGCCTGAGGCTGAGCTTGGGACATGAAAGGCAACAAGGGACCTAGATAAGCACATTAAAGCTCAGAAGAACACAGCTCTTTTAAAGAGGGGGAAAAACTAACTTTCTGTGGCCAGGAGAAGAAAGGCAGAAATAATACGCTGCTTCAGGAGGTTTTCAGTGGGCTCTATTGGGGAGATAAAATGCTGAGATGCATTTTCTGCCCTTAAAGGTTTCTTACAGTTGAAAAGTCTAGCAGGAGCCCTAGGGAGACTTGATGCCTCCACGGTACTCAGTGTGAGACAGAACATGTTTGTAAGGTTGACACGACCTGTTGCTATCACAGAAAGATTAAGGGGCCAAGTAAAAATTATTTTCTTACATAGGCTGGGGAGCACAGCTCCGCTTCTGACTGCAGATAGGAAGTTAATTTCTTGGAATATAGGAGGGGCAGCGGGTCCATCACTCCATCACTGTAACTTCTTACCCACACCTCCAACCCTTCCCCACACTTGAAGAACTGAAATAATGCTGTCAGAAGAATGAAATGAAAGTACTAAATGGAAATAGCTGAACCCAGGAGGGGAAATTGATCTAATTTCAGAACCATTGCACCTTGCAGCTCTCTTATCTTTTTGAAGTCTTTTTGATTTGTAGACAGTGATTGCAACTTAGTCTCTCAACCACTCCCACTGCTTTTACCTGGCATATGATGAATCTGATCACATTTACCCTTGAGTCAGATCCTCAAGTTATCTCTGCCCCCATTAGAATCTTGCATTGCTATCCATCCTCTCTCACCTCTCAGCTCAAGCAGTGCTCTGAGCAGCTCTTTGCTGCGCAGCCCTACAGCACTGTCCTTAGTGTTCTTTACTGCATCCTCACTCATGCAAGGAAACCCAGGATCTCCCTCCATGTGCTGCTGCTGAAATCCAAGGGAAACACCTGTCACTGTATGGTTCTTCCACTTTGTTTGGACTGACTCTCCTGATCCACCAGACAATGCAACCACCAGATATGCAGACTGCCCCTCCTGGAGCTGGTATCTCTTTTGGGGGTGAAAGATCTCCAAAGCAAGTCTCACCTTTTCTTCCAGATGCTATTTTGGTGAAAAGGTGGCCCTCTACTTCACCTGGCTTGGCTGGTACACCTACTTGCTGGGATTTGCTGCAGGGGTTGGACTGGTGGTCTTTGTGGCTGGGATTACTGTTTTCAATTCCAGCCAGGTGAGGTAAGGAAGTGCAGAATGCCACACCCTGTTCATGAGACTTTGCTATGCATGCTACTTGCTGTTGCTTCCCTGAACTCCTTTCTCTCTAGCAAGGAAATATGTGAAGCCAATGACACCCTCATGTGCCCACTCTGTGACCAGAAGTGCCCATTCTGGCTGCTCGCTGACACCTGCATGTATGCCAGGGTAGGTATCCCTCTTCCCAAGACAGGATCAAGATGAAGGATGGGGGAACACTCCCAGCTTGTGCTGTGTCCACACCACCAGAAGGAAAAGCCACCTTGCACATTGGCTACAACATGCTAGAGACCTCCACTAGCCTCCTTAAAAAGGAAGAGGTATAGTCTCATCACGGTCTCCATCACCACCAAGGAGAAGGCATTTACCACCATCTGACAAGTTCAATTTTCATTCCCCTTCTTGTGTTTTGCCCCCCTGCACCATCTTTACTTGTTTCTGGGGAGATCAGGGTGACACAAGGATGACCAAATGCTGCAGCCTCTACAGTCTGCTGTCCCCATCACGTTCTTCTCTGATCTTCTCCAGGTCACTCACATGATTGACAACGAAGGGACAGTTGTGTTTGCCATGTTCATGGCAATTTGGGGTAAGTGTCAATGTCTCATTGCCAAATACACAGAGCCTGCCACTATGGCATATGTGAAGAGCATCTGGAAGGAAATGGGACCAACACAGCTTCATCATTCAGGGGCTTTTTAGTCCTTAGCTTCTCTACTTTCAGGGCCAGCAGCTCCCCCTCCAGACAACACAAGGGATAAAAATCATCCCAGCAATTTTCTTCTGCTTTTTAAACACTCCTTTCTAGAGAGCTTGTATCCTTCAGCCACTACAACCTTCCCCAGAGCATCCAACAGCCTCTCCTCTGCCTCTCCTGAGCTGGATGTCTCACCAATGAGGTCTCAAATCTGAGCCAGCTGCAGACATAAACTTGCCTATCACTATGGGTTGATATACACAGGAACAAGCTTAGGAAGCCCAATCCAGATTAAAAGAAGAGGCGGCTGTAAACGGATTTGCAAAGGTGTAACATGCTGGTGAATCCTGGTTGCAGAGACACAGGTGGCTGCTTGTCTTTCATAGGCAAAGAGCAGCCGGGGCTGATTTGCCATTCAGATTTCACGATAGTCCAGTTTGCTCTAAGGGAGGGAGTGATGAATTCTTATAATCTAGAGCCATCTCCTTTCCCTCTGCAGCCACTGTATTCCTGGAGTTGTGGAAGAGGCAGAGAGCCCAAGTGGTCACCAACTGGGATCTGTATGGGTGGGACGAGGATGAGGTGAGAATGCCATCTTTCCCGCTTAGCGTTTTCCTCTTCAGGGCAATTTATAGCTAGGCTTACAGAAATGACTTAGTAGAGGGACCTGTCTATGGATATGGGCATCTAATGGAAGCTCTTAAACAAGAGGCAAAGCCAATATCTGGAGCCTTTGCCCCAGGGGAGACAGAACCCTCCAGAGATTTGATCAAATTCTAGACACCTTTCTGCATTGCTAGTCACCTCTAAACTCAATCAGGACTGGTCATGCTGTCAGATATTCAGCCCCGTTCCTCCAGCTCTGATCATTCCATACTGCCATTTACACAGCCACCCTTGGGCTTTCCAGTACCTGGGGAAGGCTCTATTGAAACCTTCCTTTCCTGCATGTGTATATATGTAGAGAGAGAGAGAAAGAGAGAGAGATACTTTTTTATTCTTCTTCAGGAGGAGCTAGCTATGGAGCTGATCAACAATTTGCAGCATGAACCTCGGCGGTATCGGCACTCTTACTTGCGCAGCACCATTGTGCTCCTCTTGGTTCTGCTCATGGTAAGTGCCAGGGGGAACTTAGGGTAGGAAGAGGCAAACCCTTGACATTGTCCGTTCTCCTTATGGGACAACAAGTGGACAAGTAGAGGTGGATATGTCTGCATTACGAACATCTAATCCATTGCTGAAGAACACTGGCTTGCACCTGAGGCCACAACCAGATGAGTTTTGGTGAAGACAGTTTCTGAAGCACTAAAGTTTCTGAAAGCACAAGATGGAGCACGTCCTTCCTTCCTTGCTTCTCACCTCTCCACTGTCCTCCTCCACAGATTGTTGTACTGATTGGCATTGCCCATGCACTTGTCATTTATCGGGTGGTCGCCACGGCTCTCTTCACCCAGAGTGATTCCGAGTTCTTCCGTGAGCAGGCTAACCTGGTGGCAGTGATAACAGGGGCCGTGCTGCACTACATCACCATTGTCGTCATGACCAAGGTGCAGACTGCAGCATGGGGTGGGCAACGGGTCTTGTCCTTTTCCATCATCAATTCTCCCTTATTGTTTTACACCTCTTTCCTGCAGATCAACAGACGCGTGGCCCTCTTTCTCTGTGACCTAGGTAAGGGAAACTGGGGGATGCCCCCACTCACACCCCACAGCACCAAGCTGCCCAGTGGTACCTCCACCAAAGAAAAGAACTGTAGGGCACCTCCTCATTGGTCCCCAAATGCAGCTAGTCTTGTGGCTTCTTTCCTTCCTCCACAACCACAAAGCATCTACCAGGCAGTTCTTGCCATGGGATCCATGGGGAGTGGGATAAGGTTCCACCTCTTTATGATCAACACCCTGCTCCTGTCTCCAGAGAAACCACGGACCTTCTCCCAGCATGAGAACACCTTTACCATAAAGATCTTCATCTTCCAGTTTTTGACGAACTTTTCTTCGCTCATCTACATTGCTTTCTTTCTGGGGAGGTGAGTTGTGGTAGGGATCCAGGGGGACCCCAGCTCATCTACTTTCCCCCTCAGAGCACCTGGCAGAAGTGAGAAGGGGGTAAACCATCTGGGATCTGAGCAGGACCATGGCTTTTCCCCAAGGAATGGGGAAGTGGATGGGAGAACACCTTTGCCTAGGCTAATGCCTGGAGAATGGTGTCCGCCATCCCACAGCTGGCTGCTTATCCAGAAAGGAGTTACAGGTGAGGCTCAACAGATATCACTCTTCTTGCTTCCCTACTCAGGATCAATGGCCACCCAGGGAACTACGTGCGCATTGCTGGCAAGTGGAGGCTGGAGGAGGTGAGAGACTTGCCATAAAATCCTCTGACCCCATACCACAACTCCTACCTTGCTTTTCCCCATTGCCCAGCAAGGCACAACCAAATCTCTGCTTGGACAAACAGTTCCTCAGAACCTTCTCCTCTCATCCCTTTGCAGTGTCACCCTAGCGGCTGCATCACTGACCTCTTCATCCAGATGGCCATCATCATGATGCTTAAGCAAACCATCAGCAATGTGGTGGAGTACCTTGTCCCGTAAGCCTTATTCTAGCCCTTGAAGTGCTTGCTGGTGTTCTTGGATATGCAGGACAGCTTCCCACTTCTTACTGAGAGTAACCTTGGTCTTCAGGCCAAGATCTCCTCCCTTTCCCCATCTCAGGTGTCCAGTGCTGCCCCTGCCACTCCTGCCATCACTCTGCAGACAGCAGTACAAATTTCTCCCTCCCATTGCAGCTGGCTAGCCCACAAAATACGCAAGAGGCAGAAGCGCCCCAAGAAGAAACACCTGGTGTTGGGGGAGGAGGAGGAGGCTGAGGACCCCTGCAAAAAGCAGTGGCTCATCAACTATCAACTCAACGAGGTCAACATCTTCAGCTTGTTTGATGAATTCTTGGAGATGGGTATGTAGGGGAGGAGAGGATGAGCAAGGCAGGATGCTGTGTGCAGTGCCATCTGTCCTCCTTGTATGGGGATAGCATGATGCAAGGGAGAGTGCTGAGACTCAGCTCCATGCCCAGTCCCACTAAGGAGACCATTCCCAAAGCAAGAGAGAGCAGGCAACCATGTTGGCTTTGGAACCTTGCCTGGGACCTTCCTCTCCCCTCCTAAGGGTGTCAAGGAGGTGGCTGTAACCCCAGGGTAGTCCTACTTGGTTAGCTCAACCACTATGCTTCAAGGATCCCCCTCTCTGATAGGCCTGGAAGAGGTGGGTGTCTCCTGTGGGGGTATGAGGTACCCAAGACAGGTTTATCTCCCCTTTCACTCCTGAAACTTCCCTCTGACAAAAGCCACAAAGCAGGACAAACTCAGACAGCACCTGAATACCTGGGAGATATCCACTCCATGGTGGCTCCACACCAGCACCTAGCATTTCCCCCCTCTGCAGTGATCCAGTACAGCTTCACCACCATTTTTGTTGCTGCCTTTCCTCTGGCCCCATTGCTGGCGTTCTTCAACAACCTCTTTGAGATTCGCCTGGATGCCATCAAGATGACACGGCTGCGCCGGCGCATGGTGCCCAGGAAGACCAATGACATTGGTGAGGTGGGGCCCATGAGAACTGCTGCTTGTGCAAACAGTGCTGGTGTTAAGTCCCTTCCAGTCTGAAGGAGTCTTGAGCATTCCTTTGCTGGGATGTGCTCTTGACTGTGGAGATAGCAAAGCACAGGGAGAGCTGTGGACTGGGGAGGGAGAAGCAATTTCAGACTTTTCAGACAATGAGGGGCACTTTGGAACTCTCCTTCCTTGACCCAGACTTCTGTTTGTGCCACGCTGTTCCTGAGCTGCAGCTGCATTTGTAACCCTTGAGCAAGCTGTCAAGGGAGCATCACCAACCTTCTCCTCTCCTGCAGGAATTTGGCTGCAGGTCCTGGAAGCCATTGGCATCCTGGCTGTCATCGGGAATGGATTGGTGATTGCCATCACATCTGACTTCATCCCTGTGCAGGTCTACAAGTACACATACAGCCCCTGCATGAAAGAAAACAACACTGCTGTTGAGTGAGTGTGGCTGGTCAGCTGTTCCAACCCTCCCACAAACTCCCTCAGTGTGACCACAAAGCAGGAGCTTCACCTCACCACCGGGCTGATGTGAATTGATGTGCTCTTTTCCCCTTGCAGCTGCTTGACTGGCTACATCAACCACAGCCTCTCTGTCTTCCATATCAAGCACTTTGAGCCAGACACAAATCTGGCTGTAGAGATCTTAGATTTGGTCAAGAATGGGACCACAGTGTGCAGGTAACAGCAATCTGTGCTTGGTAGCATCCCTGCCAGCCCCTCGCCATGGCATCCAGCCCTATGTGTAAAGACACCAGAGCTCTTCTGAGACCCCAATGGGTCTGGTAAAGAGAGGGACTGGCACTGAGAGGTCTCTGCTGCAGGTACCGGGATTACAGGAATGATGAGGACTACAGCTACACTGTCCAGTTCTGGCATGTCTTTGCAGCCCGGCTTGCCTTCCTCATCCTCTTTGAGGTGAGTGCTAGGGCAGCTAGCCAGGGAGGAGGCTGAGGCCACTGGGGTGATGGTGGCGTGTTAAAGTGGCCCTGCGAACTCCTCACTGCCATTGCGACTCCATTTGTGTCCTGCAGCATGTGGCTCTGTGTGTCAAACTGATTGCAGCCTGGTATGTCCCTGATGTGCCCCTGTCAGTTAAGAATCATCTTCTGGATGAAAAGCACAACAACCTTCGGAAAGAACTGAGGTGGGTAATGCCCCAGAATGTGCTAAGGACCATGCTGGACTGAGTGCAGGAGTCCCCACCAGAGCCCCACAATGGGGCCAATACCCACCACCAGCCCAGGACATGCCTCTTTGGTGACACTGGGCTCTGAGCAGATCCTCCATCTCCCTTTGAGATGTAGCTTCTACTCCCATTTTGAGTCCAGCCACTGCTACCTGGGGCTTGTAGCATTACATGTTCATTTTAAGATGGAGTGCATTACATTTACGAGTGGAGTTTGGAGTGCATACATTACGGCAGGGGAGATTCAGGCTGGACATGAGGAAGTATTACTTTTCAGAAAGGGTGGTCAGGCACTGGAATGGACTGCCCAGGGAGGTGGTGGAATCACCGACCCTGGGGGTGTTCAAGGAAAGACTGGATGTTGCGTTGAGGGACATGGTTTAGTAGGAGCTATTGGGAATAGGTGAACGGTTGGACTGGGTGATCTTTTAGGTCTTTTCCAACCTTAGTGATTCTATGATTCTATGATTCTATGACATGTAGATGAGGCCCACCTCCCTCCAGGCCAGTAGCATCACTAACTAGCCCAGGTGCCTGGCTTTTAGGTCTCTCAAGGCAGTGAATTATATTTGACAAAAGGTCCTTTTCCCACTCTGAATATTGTTCCCACAGCCCCATTTCTTCCCAATTCAGGCAGTCCTAGCCCTTATGCCCCTTTCCTTTCTCCTCCAGCATGATGGAGTACTCCACTGAAGTGTAGCCTCCTCTCATGGAAGAAAGTGAAACAAGGACTTGAGCCCCTCTCCCCAGCCTGCCAGCACAGCCAGAGAGGCATTCATGAGCTCTGGCTGTCACCAACCATGGACTTGAACTGGGGAGTGATGAGGTGACAGCTGCTTCACAGGAGCAGGATGCTTATAACTAGTACAGCCACAAAGAGGAAGAAAGTGGCAGCAGAGGTGGGAATAGCGTCTTCCCAGCAAACTCAGCAGCCGAGGAAGAGCTATGACACAATGGAGCCAGGCTCCTCAGCACCATGCAGAGAGCTCAGCATGTTTGGCAGCATCCAGCCATCACTGGGTAAGCATGACACTGGCCTGCAGGAGGTGCCCTGGCTTCCATATCAGTCATTGCCTTCACGTGCCGTGTAGCATCATGGAAAAAAGTGGCTACCTCATTCCAGGTTCCCTCTCCAGATCTTCCTTACACTTTGGCCCCCTCTTCCTCTGCTTTCACTGACCTCCCTGCTCTCACACTGTAAAGAAGGTTCAGTCCTTCCTCTTTCACGAAAGCCAGCACAGTCTGCCTCACAGCACAACTACTGCATAGCTGTGGTTCCAAACCATCCTTTCCCCGATCTTTAGTAAATTGCACTTATTATCCTGATTGTCTTTTGCACAGGGCCCTACCATGCCCCCACATCTGCTTTAACTCAAATATATATCCAACTCAACTACAAGAAAAATGGTCAATAAATGCAGTGACTGTAAAAACTCGAGCAGACGGACCCTCAGTCACCAAGAGTAACTGTATTCACACTGCTATCTTTCCTGCCTCCCCTTTCCTATTCACAGCACCTAAAGATCATTCACTCCCCCTTCTTTTTTCTTCATGTGGATAATGAAAAAAAGGCTGGAGCTTAAGCATTTATGCCTAGCACACTGAGGTGGAGTGAGAGGTGCTGCATAGTGGCAGAATTAAAGGAAATTGACATAGTGGCAAGAACAAGAGCAAGAACGTGCTGGACTGACAGAAGTACATTTAGCTATAGAGAAAATCCCGAGTCACAAGGCTAGAAAGTGTTATCTCTTGCTGCAAAGCACAATACATTAGCCCTGCCAGCTTGGTATTTCATCACCTCTTTCCTTACAGCCCTACAACAGTGAACACAAGAGTTTGCCTATGGCAAAGCAGGGGTTACATGCCCCAGCTGGTCTGGTGTCAGAGCAGTCACTGGAACTTTTCTAACATTTGTGTGTTCCTGGCTTCATAGGTTTGCTCACTGCCAGGTCTACCTGTAGCTTTACCAAATCGAGGCAGAGTTATTTGCATTAAAGGAACAAAGTCTTTGTTCACATTATATGGAAATGACAACGTGCCCTCAAACGTGATTCTCCACTCAACCCTGAGTGCAGAAACAGCCTTTTGGTACCCCACAGCATTTCCAAATTATATTATTTTGAACCTGTGCATGGCAGCCTTGCTGAACTGGGTCTGCAAACACTTGAGAAGAACAACTTTTTTCTAACTTTTGTTAATGCGGAAGACAGGAGCACCAGTCAGGTCACTGCAGCTCAGTTTCCAGCTTTGTTACCATCCTTGTAAACCCTGGGTCAAATCCACTGGAGAGTTTCAAAGCTGACCTGAGAGTCTTTTTCTTTATGAGTACTGAAATCCTTTAACCAGTTCTGAAGTTTAACCTCGAGCTCCATGCTTTCATCCCCTCCTCTGTCAAATAGCCACAGGTGGCCACTTGTGTTAAATTGCGGGGATATACTGAATAGAATCTGGGAGCTAGGCAGGTGTCACTGTGCAAGTGTGTGAGCACATGTAATAGACACACAGCCACAATACAAACCCTGAATGATGCAGACAAGTGAAGATGAGCAGCATAGCTCAGGATTAACTATTTCTTTAGGGCTGATCTGTCATGTTCTATAATTAAAAGTCAGGTTAGCCTGAACCCCTGCTGTGTACAGAGCGATATTCCTGCACAGAGATGTACATGGTGATGCTTCTTCCCATAATAAAAGCTGCTCTTAGCACCGCATGCCACAAGAGGCCACAATGTTTGTGGCTTGTTTGAAGTCAGTGCAGCCCCACACCTGCAGAGTCCTTGGCCCTGATTTAACAGCAAAAAGCTACCCACCTGCTGTGTTTCCTGGGAAAAGGAGTAGAGTGACAGTGATTAAGCATCTGTGCCTAGGTGGCACCTCACCCTGTAGCAATGCTCTCCTTTCTGGCACTTGGAAATGAAACTGGTTTCACTGATAGCCTTGGAACACAGCCGCCTGGCAGCTCTAAGTAGCTCATACTTAATTAGCTTCAAGATGTTAAATGCATCAAGAACCGGCTATCAGCGAGCTTGTGTTGATACAGTCATTTCCACCGTCCTACCCAAGCAGTGCACACTCACCTCAGCAGCAGGATGCAGGACAGGGTTGCAGGCTCCAGCGTAGCACAAAGTGACAGTCTCAGATTGAGAGGATTTCGATGGGGGCTCTGGATGCAAAGCCAGCAGCTTCCCATGGTCCCCAAGGTCCACTGCAGACAGGGCCAGGGGCTGTGCCCCACTGCCAAGGCCAGCAGCAGACAGCAGGTGACAGTCTGGGGGTGATATGCCTCTGAGCCCACGCTCAGGACTGCAGAGAAAGACACCAACATGAACTCAGAAGAAAACTGCACTCCCAAAGCCGTGAAGAATCAAGCAGAGAAGCGGAACGAGCTGTGCAATGCCCTCAGCCCTCTGGCTTGTTTTGTCCTTTTACCACTGTGATCAAGATCACCTCCACTCCTTCCCACTTTTCACTTGCCCGCAGGAATAGCTCTGATGGACAAGAAAGGTTTAGTCAGCTCCTAGTTCCCTGCCCTTGCCATTTGTTCCTTGGAACCCTTTATCATCCCACAAAGCCAACTGGTTTACACTGGGGTTTGCAGTCCATACGTTAAAGTGAGCACAGCAGTGTGCATGAAGCTGGTGAAGGGTCTAGAGAACACGAATGATGGAAAGGCCACCCGCTCAGGGGAGCCCTGCCATCTTTTTCCCATGCAGGGCCTGCTGGGAGCTGTAGGGGTGCAGCTCGACATGCAAACAGCACTGCAGTGGCCCGAGGGGCGGGCAGGCACACACCGTGCCCTGTAGTCCTGATGCAGGGTTAATTTTTAACTTACTGTAAATGGGAATCTGCTTTCAACAACCCTCTGATGGAATGCAGATAGAAGGAGCTGTACTGGAGGTAGAGCACTTCAGGACCTTTGAACAGAAAGCCTTGAATAAACCAAAACTATTTTGTATGCTTTAAAGGAAAACAACAATAAAAAACCTTCACAGAAAAAGAAACAGACAAACAAAAGGTGAAGCACTGGGGCCATTACATCGTCTCCCACGTTCTTCTTGACCCCATATCCCAACCACCCTTCCCCACCATCAAAATCCCCAAGAAGCCAGAATCCCCCCATTTTCAGCCCTTTCCACACAACCACACAACACTGTTGTGTTTGATGGCTGTTGTTCGTATGGCTTTATTCCTGGAAAATCCCAGGAGTGTGCAATGCTCAGAAATGCGGACCACCCCACCTCCTCCATCAGTCTGCTGAACTGAGGCTTTTCAGGAGGAAATAACCACTTCTGGAAACAGCCACTTTTTCTCTCTTCTCAACCCCAGATGGTGTGATTACCTTATTGAAGACTCCAGTACTTTCAGTGCTGTTAGGCACAGCCAGGATGGCAATGCTCTTTCACTGGCCTTTCACCAAACACCACTGCCACTGTGAGCTTAACCAGAACCTAGGCTGTGTTGTGGCTTTAATTATCTCTTTGACAATTACCACAGCCATCACTTGCTGCTCACATATCACCTTGCTCCAGCTCCCCAGACAAGCTAGAGGAATGACTCCAAGTACAAGCTTTGTCCTGCCAAGACACCATGTCCACTCCACACTATTGGAGACCAAGCCCCAGAGCCCTGAGCTTGTGGGTGCTCAGCAAATCATGACCCCACATTACACCCCAGGCTCTGCACACAGCTCTGCGAGGAGCACACACCCCTGAGCCCCCATGCAGCCCGGGGAGCTGGTATTACTGGTGGGTGCAGGTTTTGTCTCACCCCAACGTCTCTTCCAGCTGCAAGGAGCTGTGTACCCAACTCCCTGAGGCTGGTGGGTTGGTTGGCTTGCCTTCCCTCTCCATTTTTCTCTTTTTTCTTTTTCCCCTCCCATAAAGCCGAAGTTATTTAGGTGTTGTTTTTTTCTCTCTCCCACAGGTTCAGGTGGAGGTGGAGCGGTGGGTGGGAAAGAGGGATGGCCAACCCCTTCTGCAAGCCTGGCACCCAGTGATTGGGGAACCCAGTGAAGGGCATGGACTGAACAAGGCGGGGGGGGGAGGGGAGAAGCGGGGGGGAGGGAATAGCTTAAAAAAAGAAAAAAAAGCACAGAGAAAAACCTAACGAAAGCACTTGTCTGGCAGTCAGCTCAAGTGGCACAGGGGGAAGATGGCTGGCAGGAAGTCTGGAGGAATCTCCTGCAGGTAAACACAGCTCTCTGTTGCTTCCCACTCTGTGTTGAAGTGTCTCGGCCAAGGTCAGTAGAGTCTCACCCTCTCCCTACAAGCTCTGTTGCTTAGCCTCCATCCCTGCTGCGTGCACCCTGCCTACCTTGCTTTCCCCATGGCTTTCCTCCAGGGGGATACCACAGTCCAGCTATCATACTTGGATCACTACAGAACGGGGCTATCCCTCAAACCAAAACATAGGAATGGCAGTGTGTTGTGTGTTTCCCTGTGCTCCTCCTTCAGCCCTGCACAGAGCTTCCCTTTCAGCGCCCATTTCATCCCCTGAAGAAAAGATTATGCCTCCCTGTGGGACTAGGGACTGCTGAGGGCCTCCTTGAGCTCTCCAGCCAGCCCACACCCTGTTGGGACTTCCTTCTTTCCAACCACACAAGGATGGGTGAGCCAGGACTGAGCGCAACCAGAGCATCGCCAGCAGGCTGGGAAAGCTCCACACCACCCCATCCTTTCCCCATGCAAAAGCCTGGCAGTGGGGTTCTCCAGCCTCTGCTCTTCCATCCTTGACCACAGAAAAAAAATCAGTTAATGCTTTAAGTATCAATTATTTTCCAGCTGCTCAAGCATCCCCTGCGTCCCCTGCATACCTTGACCCCATTTTTGCCCGGAGCTGCGGCTGCTGTGGCACAGGTAGGTGAGGTACCTCCAACCCCAGTTGCAGACCTCCCCCTTCCACATAACACCCACAACACAGACTCAGTTTCTTTGGGGGAAAACCAGGTTTCATCATTTCCAAACGAGTTTGCAATCAGGAGTGAAGAAGCTCTGGGGCAGAGGCAGCCAGGGCAGATTTTATCGCTGCTGGCCCCAGCAGTTCGGCTGGATGTGTTTACAGTAGTGCTGCCTTGCATAAACACCAGCATCCTGATGTCCTTGTTATTCCCAGCAGGCACAATAACCACACTGGGGGCTCTGGGGGTGTTCAGGGACAGAGGAGCCTAATGCCACAGCCAAGCTCTGCTTCAGGTTCCTTTTGTAACCAGTGTGATGTATTGACGAGGTGCGGGGTGTCCTCTCTGCTGCCCCTCTTCCCAAGGGGCAGTGCCATGCAGGGATGGTACCTGGGCACAGCCACAGGGCAGCACTGTGCCTCCTTATGTTACTGCTGTGCCA